TAACTTCCATGGAACCAGCTTATGAATGGTAACTAATCGTGAAGACGCTTTTCCCAGTAAGGTAACGCCATTTTCGTTGATTGAACGAAAAAGGGGTTCATATATAATATGTTTACCAGCATCATTTCTTGCTAATGGAAAAACAAGATTCAGTGAAATAAATTATCTCGCTCAATTTGTACTATAGTTGTTCACACAAAAGTATTTTCTCACATCAGAAGAATAAAGCTGCCTCTCTATACGAGTTTCGCTTCTATAGATCAACATTTTTCTATGTCTAAACTTTCGAAAGCATCTGAAAACCTGTTACCATGTTCGTGTACCGGTTCCATCAATTTTGAACACTCCTCGCTTATTCTATGGCCGTTCTTTGAAGGATATTGACTAAGCTAGGTTAGGTCCAAAGTGAGTGGGTCTATTCGACCTTCCACCACAACCCGCAAAGGTTTATTGGGCTCACACTCAACCGAATGAACCCAGCTTCTTAACGAAGCCGATTAGTTTTTATGGTGAGTGATCTTTCAGGTCAAATGATAAGAGTACGACTCTGCCAAATTTTAAAAACCTTATTCGGACCCCAGCGGGGCAGGCAAGTATATGATCTGCTGTTTCATGGTTGATGAGGTAGTGGGATAGTCAAGGTGCAAGATTCCCACCTTGATACCCGCGACAACCTTCCCATATGAGGGTTTTTGCACGTCAGCTACACCTGACGATGCCTTAGATTCAACCGTGCAGGGCTTTTTTGCCTCTGGTTTTGGTGAATCATTACTTGAGTGCAAACGTTTGCTAACCTGCTCATGGGGGGTTTGTTCCTCTACCTGAGACAGATTCTGCGTACGCCGCTCAAGAATTTGGTGCAAGGCGGTTTTATAAGGTACCCCGCTCTTGAGGAGACGACTCAGTCGTTTCCTGGCTGCACCACCAAACCTTTTTTCTAGGTTTAGTTATTGGAGCAGGAGAGTTGAGAAGCTCTCGCTCCTGATCTAAAATTACAGGGATGTCAGTTGGAGTCGTAAGCTCGACATCCATCTCCTCTGTAGACTCAGCGTCAGAAAAAATTTTTGAGTTTACTCTGTCCATAAAAGTCCCACGAGTAGCTAGGGAAAGAAGGTCAATCACGGCAGAGCCCCACATTACCATGAAAAGGCGATGCTACGACGAGAGGGCGCCTGGTATCTCGAAGGTTCCGTAGAGACGGTTGATAGACTCAGTGTCATTCATCCCCCGGCACGGATACACACACCTTAGGATTAGGCCATCGTTTGGATGCCATTCAGTTAGGGAATAACGGAAACCACAAGTGATTCTATCATTCCCGTATTCAGCGGGGCTACGTGGAAGCAGGCATCCGATGGCCAGTTTGCTCAACCCCCACATCCGAAGAAAATGCACTCGCCGAAATCAGCATGCACAGTGGTTCAGGCAGTGAAAGATGAACAAAGACAGCCGCATATTGAGTAATACTAGACTTTTCTGGTCTATGAAAACAAATATGTGAAACATCTACCTTGTAGCGAGCTATTACAGTCTGCTTAGTTTGACCAGTATACTTTTCATCGCAATCCTCACAGATTATTATGTTAAACCCAGATGTTTTATTTTCTGCCGTCTTTTGTCTTTCGGCTTGCCTAACACTTGTTCAAATGTCCCATCAGTTTTGAAAATCTCCCAAGCCAAATCTTCTTCGCCTATACTTTATAGATACTTTCAAGACATTACAATTTTACTCTAATGAATAAAAACTATTCATTATAATTAATGGTATTATAATCGCAAATCAGAATTATAATGTTAGAGAGGTAGTGCCAGTTTATAGGTTCTCTGATTAATATCATTGATGTAATATCGAAACATTGAATCATGGTTCAATGTTTTTGTGGCATGAACTATCTAGACGTTCATGTAGAGAAGCTACGGAACTGAATCCTGCCAAAAAAATTATCTTCTCGGAAGTAAGACATGCCGAAATATCTGTATTTCGCCAAACCGATACGGTCATCTAATATATGAAACACAGCCGTTCTTCTGTTTTTTTATCTGTTTCTCTGTTAACTAGATGTCCTCCTATGAACAACAAATCTCAAAAGTATAAACTTATGCCATCTACGGATTAACGAGTTTTTACATTTTAACTTGCGATTCCTAGCACTGGTTGGACGATAGGCGGTATAAATCGATCGTCCTGCTTCGCGGCTGACGGTCAATAGAATGGGTAGAACAAAGCACACACGTCAGCATAACCGGCCACCGTCCCATCGAGGATCAATCCACTGGAGATGAAAAAGAAATCGCGCGTGAGGAGCGCCGTGTTTAGTATTGCCAGTTGTAATGTTTTTGCAGTAGGTCTACTGTGTTATTATGGCCAGCATTTGTGCTTCACAAACACAATATAAAATACTCAGTATAAGTTAATCAATAACTCAACAGTACATTCAATAATTTCAAGGCGGTCGTCTTGTGTGACTAGAGTAGGAAAGGCACCATGGCACTAATAATATCTATGATCAGAAAAACTGTTGGACAGAATGGTGTGGGAAGTGGAGTCTGCTGAATTTAGGGAATAAATCATAGGAGTATGCCACTTTGTTTTCTCCAGTTTGGCCGATATTCATCTTATCTGGTGCTGATACTTGATGATGAATGAAATTTCACTTTGATAAGTGTATTCAATATAAAGTAATATCGGTATCTCGTCAATACGTGTAGAAGATGGAAAGAAAGTGTTTTTTTGCCTTGGAAGCTGTCTGAATTGTCCATTTAGTCCAAGTCTTCAGAAAACACTGCAGCCTCTTGGACTTATTGCGTTCATTCTCCCATCTTCTTATGACACCCATTCCATCAGTCTCGTTCCCTGGACTATTTTGTACGTTTTGGATGTTCGTCATATTCTCCTGGCCGTAATTTTGTACGTCCATATATTGCCTGCCTCCTGTGATTCAGTGCCTCACACTCGCATTAGATGTGTAGAGCTGTTTCTATCCCTTCGTTGCATAATCTGCAGCTGAGGTCTCCGTTGTACAGCCCCATTTTATTCAGGTGTCCTCTAAGCGGACAGTGACCGGTTAGTAACCCCGTAATTATTCTGAGCCGATCCCTACTATATTGAAGTAGTTCTTCGGTTCTTTTCTCGGACGGTTCCCTAATGAAGGTTCTACTGTGTTTGTTGCCAGGTACTTTTGTACAGTACTCTGTATGCTTATTATTGGTCCATGTCCTAATCTGGTTTCTTACCAATGATTTTGGTACCCCCAGAGCTGGTTAAGGACCTATATATGAAGTTGATAATCCGCTTCTAGCGCATTCATCAGCTTTATCATTACCTGTGATTCCTGAATGCTCGGGCACCCAGGACAAAGTTAATTTGTTCCTGTTTGCAAGTTCATTCAGTTCTTCATGGCATTCCCAGACCAGTTTTGATGTCACCTTCGGGTTTGTCAGAGCCCCTAGTGCGCTCTTGCTGTCTGTTAAAATATTGATCCGCTCATTTCTTTGAGGTCTGAATTTAATAAGCCTTGCACACTGCAAGATAGCATACACTTCCGCCTGAAAGACGGATGTGTATAGTCCTAGCGAATAGCTGTAGTTTAGATTTCTATCCGCTCGGTATATTCCAGCTTCCGTTTCATGTTTGGTCTTCGATCCATCTGTATACCAAGTGTTTTTTCCAAACATGTTTTCGGGATGACTAATGGTCTTCCACTCACGGCTTATGATTTTGGCCGTCAAGTTTGTGTAAAAGGTGTACTTTAGTGTCATGTGGTCCGTGCACATATTCAATATGTGCTCCTCCACTTGTTCCGAAATTTCTGTTCGGTCCGATCTCTTGTAGTTCGGTGAGTTTTCCAGTCTGAATTGGCCCATCCTGGCCTCCCCCATCATCACAAAGTGTAAAGGAGGAAGATTCAGGAGTGTCTCCAATGCAGCTGTTGGGGTAGTTCTATTCGACAGAATCTACGTGATGGATATATCATCCAGGCTGGCCATGACTCAAGCCTACTTGATTTGAAGAAAGCACTGACAAATACGTTGTTAAACCAATGTGTTCCGATATCGAATATCCCGTGCAATTGCTCATTGTCAGTAGTGAAATAGTGCCCGCGGTTTTAATATGAGTTTTGTGCTGAGCACGTTACAACAGATTCCTGGATACCTCGTTCGATGTCAAAGACCAAGGTATGTGAATTGCTTGCTCGGACACCTATCTTTGAAAATACGTTTTGATTCCCACGGTTCCATGATTGTGTTTGTACGTTCCCAGGAAGTTTATGTTTCTGCCTCCAGTCATGTGAATGGCTCTTTTCTTGATGGAATTCATCAGCTTCAAGGTATGCTTAGGGGCGGAGCTCCATACATGAGAACAATACTCCAAAGGTCTGTTCTGAGCTTCATAAAGCATTAAAAGTTGTTGAGGTGTGTACAGTTTTCTGGTTCGGAACAGGGTTCCGAACTTTCGAAAAGCAGCCTTTGCAATTCCAGTGGCATGATTGTGCCAAGACATGTTTTCGTCTATTTTAACCTTCAACAAACTCATCAAAGCAAAAAGTAAAATTCTCTGACCTGACATCATTATATCCGATTCGGAGGCATTTATCTTCTTGGAAAAAATCGATGTTTTTTTTGTGGCATTGAATTGAACCTGGTTACTTCCACCCCAATTCGAAAACACCTCTAGATCCTCATTAAGATATACAACCTCCTGTTGCCGGTGAAGATGTGCCTCCGTATTCGATGTCCTGGAATCCAAATGTTATTTCGAGACAAGGGTGCTGTCGTCCGCAAAGTAATATATTGGATTCTTGTTTTTTTCCAATAAGTCGTTGATATACAATAAATGATATTTCGACAAAGTAATCACCAATTTTTTTCTGAATCTTCTATATTCTTGCTTTTAAATTCCTTCGTTACCCTTTTTTGATAGAATCTGGCCTCTACAATCAAGTTCCCACCTCAATTCCACCCCAAACTCTATCGAAGAATGAACGGATCGTTTTGTAAGAATGGCTGCCAGTGTGATTTGGTACGTGATCGAGTTAGGAAAGATCTTGATTGAGTCCTTCTCCGTTTATTGGGCTTTATGAGGGTCCCTTCCAGTTTGCTTCCAATCAACGATATTGAAAGTTTTCAAATGGAAATAAGCGGAGTGTTATTAAATGAAAGAGATATACAGGATTGGAGACTAATCCATAATGCAATGAAAAATTCAGGAGTTACAAAAATTTCGAAGGAATAATACAGGGTGTAACAAATCGTCAAGCGGTTTTTTCTATGCAGAGTGGTCTGTTGAGAGTGTTTGTAATAGGGAAAGTTTTGTCTTCAAAATCATTTTAAAATTTTCAACTTCGTAAGCGGAAATGCCATTTCTTAAATCATTTTAAATGGTAGTGAAGTGAATGATACGTCATTGAATTGTTGTTCGTGAAAATCGGTGAATTCGTTTAGAAGACATGGAGCTTTGAAATTTCAATAATATTTGAATTGAAGGGGTTATATTTTTAGGAGTGATTAATTTTTGGGAAAGAAAGTTTTTGGCTTTCTACTACTCCATCTTGATACAAAAAACAAGGATGAGAGAATCTTCCAAGGAAAGGAAGTAATCAATTTTAAAATAAGTAACTGTATACATGGATGTGTAGATCATGCAAAGAAGTAACTTTCAGACACAAACTGAATCATATAAGTATGGCCCATATCTGAAGTCACAGTAGTTGAAATGGCTTAGCACCAAACTATCACAGAGCATTCTTTTTAGAGNCACAAATGCTACTAGAATGTGTCTCGGAATAAAATAACTTATTCCAACCGATACAAAAACGTCATTGGAATTTTCCCATATCAAATTATGTTACAGACTTTGTTCCATTTCGTTGTTTGCCAACTTGCTGCGAACTTTGTATCAGCAAACTTCCACGAACAAAGTTAAAATTAACAATTCATTTGAAATAAAAACAGAGAAGTTGGTAAGCGTGAAGGTATCAGCTTGGAGGAGCTGATAAATATTTTACGCTCTGTTTAGCAAATGATATACTAGACTTTTTCAAATGATTCCATTCCCGAAGAAAGTAGAGTCTTGGAAAAGGAGTTCAAAAAAAATGTCGAGCGCGCAAATTTTTGGCCGGTAATTTCTTCACATCTCACGCAAAGGCCTCACAAAGGTAGGTTCAGCCAAGGGTATTATTCGATCTGCCGAAATATTTCACGGAATTCGTTGGAAACTTTCTAACAACTGCAGCTAGAGCTACAGGAGCTGAATGAAAAAAGTTCTTTGGACGACAAACAAATAGAAATCGTTATGTCTTTGGTAAATAACCTCTACAGTCTACAAAAAGAGTTGCTCGTGAGATTGATGTGTCAACAATCACCTTCAAGAAATAACTCCGAAGACAAGTTCTACACCAAGAAAAGTTATTTTTTCAAAGAGAAAACACAAGCATTTCAGGAAAATCCTTAAGGCGCTCTAAGAGCGGTGCCTGTGCGAAAGTAGCGATTCAAATTGGATTTGAATCGCTGGAGAATCAATCCATTTGGAAAAATGTTCTCAGGAAGTTTATTCTACATAAACGCAGTTCTCCAGATCCCTAGAAATGTTTCAATATGGATTCTAGAAGAGACATAAAAGGGACATAGAAGGGCTTCACATAATTTATACTTACTTGCTCCACTCAGACAACCATAACAAATTTCACAATCAACAAGCTAACTAGTTTATCATAATGATTACTATCATTACTTTTTCATAACTAGCCAATAATGTTCATCATATCAGAATTAAACAATACAGAGTGTAATATAAGTACCTACGTTAAAATATTCAAGTTCTGGAGCAGAGATGGCATCAAAAGGACCAGAACTCTTGAACCATTTCCAAAATCATGGATCACCCATAATGATAGGTGATGGTGTGCTGGCACACACAATTTTAGGTGTGGATTATAACCAACAAACTGGAAATTTACGTTTCCTAATACTGGATCCCCATTATACCGCCAGTGAAGATCTTCATGTAATTCAAAATAAAGGTTGGTGTGGATGGAAAACTGTGGACTTCTGGAACAAAACCTCTTATTATAATATGTGTTTACCACAAGTCCCGAGAGAGATTTGAGGAGTTTTTTGCTCATTTTATTATATAGTGACGAATTCCTGAGACAATTTTGAGAAAAAAAAAATATATGTACGAAAACGCTTCGTTTCAGAGATACGGGGTGTTGAAATTGAATTTTTTTGTTCGCTTTTTGAAAATATCTCTTGCAAAAAATAAGTTATTTGCACGAAATTCGGTACCCGGGGTTTTTTTCGACGTGGGAAATCATAATTTTGTATTAATTTTCATGTAACATCTATAGGGCGTTGAGTAACATCTAGAGGGCGCTGCGTACGCTATCATTACTTATTTCAAATTGCCCTGAATTTTTTGACAGTGAACTTTTGGTACTTTTCATGAAAAAACGTAATTCCCACACCTTTTCTAAGTAGAAAAGATAAACTTGCTTAAAAACGCGGGTGGTGACAGTTTTTAGAGATATTTACAATGTTCTATATCGATGCATGTTACTTAGCTCCTAGGGCGCTAAGTGAAATTGCTGAGAACATTACAAAAACTGAGTATGTGGTGGATCTCGTCAAAATAAACAACTTTTTCTTATGAAATGTTCATCGAAAAATAGTTCGTTTTCGAGATATACATTTCTGCGCCTACGCCTATCAAAAAACAACTACTCCCCTGGTTAATACCACGAAGGGCGTTGGATTACATCCGACAGGCGTCAGTGCAGGAATCTTCACAGAAAATTTCCTGCATATGCAATTGGCAATACAACTGAAAGAGTCGACCCTCAATTTTGGAACAGGCACCCTTGCAGACCGGTTTCGGGCTCATTAGCCACTCGTCAGTGCAAGATAGTGGCCATCATCGACCTTAAGTCAATGATATTCCATAAATCTCAGCAACTTCACTTAGCGCCTTAGGAGCTAAGTAATATGCATCGATTTAGAAAATTGTAAATATCTCGAAAACGATCACCTCCAGCATTGTTGAGGAGGTGTACCTTTTTTAATTGGAAAAGGTGTGGGAATTAGGTTTTTTCATGAAAAGTACCAAAAGTCAAAAAAGTTAGGGTAATTTGAAATAAATAATGACAGCGTTCGCAGCTCCCTCTAGATGTTACATAAAAATTAATACAAAAATATGATTTCCCACGTCAAAAAAACCCCGGGTACCGAATTTCGTGCGAATTACTTATTTTTTGCAAGAATTATCTTCAAAAAGCGAACAAAAAAATTCAATTCCAACACCCCGTATCTCCAAAACGAATCATTTTCGGACACAAGTTCATATGGACTTTTTTTTTAAATTGTCTCAGGAATACGTCACTTGAATATTCTAACGAACTTATGTTACACCCTATATATGAAAGGACAACATCCAACTTTTTTGAAATTCAATAATGATTTTCCAAATAAATATTTTAGAGTGCATGTAACTCCAATGAAACTTAGATTCTGTCTGATGAGACACATACATCTTCCTTGGATTCCATGCCACAGACACCATATTTTTCCTGTTTAATTTTTTTTTTGACAAGACAATTGACAGTTGCCTTGGACATGTCCTTTTCACTCAATGTATATTTTTGAAATTATTTTAAAATGAATCTAATGTTATTAGAGTCATCCATTGTTTTTACAGTGTTTTCATATTTATCTGATAGACATTTGTGCAGGTTTTCTAACAGAGAACATTCCCGAGTTGATCAACTTAAATTTGAACAAAAAAATTGTAACATTCCAACACCTCAGATCGAAACGCATCACTGAAAACCGAAGTAACCTGATCTCCCGGTCGCCTCAGCTCAACTTCTCGACTGTAAACACCGATAATTCCCAACCACACCTGTCAAATCCCTCAGGAGTCCATCAGTCCCGACACGCGATGCCGCTCCTGCTCTATACAAATAGAGCTGAAAGTGACTTCTGCGAAGGTCGAAACCGAGGCCTGAAATTGCCACAGTCCGATCTGGGTCATCGTCTGCAAGCTGCCCGGGGAGGGGACGGGATCGATAGGGACGATGATATGGGCGCAAATGAAGGCGATATATTTCGGAGAGGACAATCCCGAGTGGCAGCAGGAATTAGGGCTCTCGTCGTTGGGGTGGACCATATGAGCGTTTGCGGTGGAATTTTCAATTCAGTGGGAGAAACATAATTGCTTTTGCAGTTGGGATAATGAAAGAAAGGGAGGGAACTATACTCTAACAGATAAGAGTGATGAATGCTCGTTGTAAATGAATAACGCTGACAAAAGTGATCAAACAAAATTTTGTGATTGACTTTATATGTATATACACATCGGAAAAGTCTAGGGACATTTTTATAACACACTAAATATCATAAAAATGAATGCATGAGGTCGTTTAATTTCGATTGAATTGGTACACTCGACCACCCTGTAGATTTCTATGGGTTGAACAAAGCCTGCAGAAACGGTAACTAATCTTTTATCAAGTTTTTTACAAACTGTAGGTTTTCGGCTAAAATGAATAATCTGAAAGTGTCGAGTTTGTACATTCTATGCAGTTCTTGCTCAGCAATTAAACTGGAAATATTGTGCTTTAACATGGAACGCCATCACTTACCATTGGCTGAGATGAATAGAGCTGTAGGGCTTCTTCAAGGTGGCATGCGACAAAATGATGTAGCTCTTCGTTTGGGGGTCTCCCAAAGTGTTATCAG